CACTTACGCGGTGAAAAAATTGATTGGAACGTTCGAACAGGTGATTTTTTTCCAGTTTGACAAAATCTCAACGACTCAAGTAATAAATCGTTTTCATTAAGTACATACTCGGACGTACTTACGCCACGATCGCAGTTGACTACGATTTATCAGCATAGTCGATGTAAAACTCATTACGCTGTGTACACACTCACACGCACACATATTAATATTTATTTTTTTATTAATTTACGACGGGAGAAAATACTTAACGTTTTATCGTACGCATGAGTTCACGCACATAGATAGTTGTACGACGAGTAATACGATTCAGAAGCAAATTTAAAAACTAAACTTTAAAAAAATCATTGTTCATACGCCGTAGATACATTCCTTAATCTCATCTGCTAAAAAACCAATCTATGTGTAAATGTTTTAATTAACACAGTGCTTATGGACAAGGGAAATCTTCGGAGAAAATAATAGTATTAAAAAAATTAAATTAAAATTCTCATAGACACGAGATATTAATTTTAACAAGAAAAAATGATAATAATAAATAGCGTAATGGTTTTATTTTAAAATTTAAAAGGAATTATAAGTTTTATAATACTAAACGTGACCTCAAAAAAAAAAAAAGAAAAAAAAAGATATTCTTTTCATCGGTAATTTTTAAACAATGTATTTTATGAATATTCAATATTTTTAAAAGTTTTTAAAAGTTCTAAGATTTGTACTACTACTACTTTGACTACTGCACTATTACTTGTCTGCTATACTACAATTGTCTGTTACTATTATTTCGGTTTCTAAGTACTTGCTACTAAACGTATTCTTCGTGTACTAAACAACCTTGAAATATTAAATATTAAATCCTCGGTTTGACGTTTATCTCGTGATTAAATATTACATTCAGTTTTCAATCAAAATATGTTCAACGATATTGAATTTAATAAATTAACGTTTAGATAATGAATAAAAATAATAAAGTTTGCAAACGAAATTACAGCTGAACTATTATGGAAATATGTTATAAGGAGAGGTGATTTTTGTATTTTTTTACAACCCAAGTCATATAACATTCTTTGCTGTACACCAAAGTACTTAATGTTTATTTATCACTTCTTTCCGTGCCCATAAACAATAATTGCTACAATTATTAAACGCTTATTAATCAATTAATTTGTGTAATGCATTTTTATGCCGCGTCGATTTCAATTACTGCGATGAAATAAATTACCCAAATGCTTTTTAATTACATTAAATCGGACGCCACGGACGGCCGTATCATAACCATAACCAGAAAATTCGGTAGGTAGGCAAATACGAACGTTAATTCAAATCGACAGCGCGAAGACCATCCCGTGCAGTGGAACTCGATAATATAGTTTTTTTTTTATATATTTTTTTTTCAATTTTTTTTTTATACGTAACGCGGTCAAAAACAACATGGTATTAATATTGTACACTGTGCGTTTTAATAATGGTACAAAAAGATATTATACGATATTATACACCTACGTTGTGGAGATTTCGACTCGAACACAATAATATTTTGACCGCAGTGGTTGGTTTCTAATCGAATACCCTTGTTCTGTGAATTTACATAAATACACCACGACAGACGGTCAACGTCGGCCGTACGTTATGATAACGTTCCAAAACACTTGTACGCACGCAAGGACATTATACACGCCGTTTCGTTGAAAATCCCCACCGTCGCTTTCGGACGAGTAGCCCGAAGAGTTAATGTTTTTCAGACGCGAACGTACGGCGCGCGACACAAACATCGAAATGTTTGATCATACAGCATCGGAGAACCGTCAACCTGTGTGACCGTTATTAAAAACTCCATCGATCACGATATTTCATGTCGTTCGAACTGATTTAAATATAATGCGGACACACGTTGACGGGCGTCACTGTGCACGTAACACGGGTTAGGTATACTCGTATTGCTATGTTATATTGTTCCGATGAGGCGAAACCTCGTATGCCTCTCCTCGCGACCACGTCACATTATATGTAAATGATTTGAAACAATAATGTTCACCGAATAAACCTTCCCCTCGGTCCGCGAGCAGGACTGACACTGTCCGTCCGTAATCACTGCGTAGTGCATACGTAATAATAACGATGACATTCCGAAGACCGATTTACATTATTATTGTATACGCCATCTAATCTTTTGTGTATTAAAAATCTTCGACGATCTCGTTTTTACATGTTCGTATCGTATCGGACCGCAGCGTCGCGCTACGGTTATAAAATGAAACTAGTTGGCCAAAATTCGATAGTTTGAATTTGAAAATACTCAAATAATGATATTAAAAATGTTTTGTATAATACCTGATGCGTATAAATATGTAAGACTTATTGCAAAATAATATTAGGTATACATAAAATAAAATAAAATAAAAACTGTAGTTGACAAAATACAGATTTTTTTCATAATCACTATGATATTTTATTAATAATGATCATATTGTTTAATTTTCTACTACAGATTAAATTTAATTGAATCAAATTTCTTATCAATTTACGTTGAATAAGTTACAAAGATAGTACCTATTTGATGACCCGATTATGAAGTTATACTGATATTATTATTATATTATTTATTTATTAAATTATTACATTTTATTATATTATTATTTTTTGATATTATACGACCCGTATGTGATAACAGAAATGTACATTATTACAAATGATAATAAACCTGTTAACATCTATGAACATACAAATTTAATTAATTTATTCATCGAGTTAGTACGATACTTAGACTATAATCTACTGATTACAAAATACTATCATTAGTTGCTTCTATTTGATTGTTTATTTGTAGTGAACATTTGAAGTTTGAAAGCCTTTATTTATAAGCAATATTTTATTAAACAAGGTACATTATTTGATTTTTCATTTTTTATAATGGGTTTAATTTCACAGATTACACGTAAAGAAATCCACGAATATATTTTTTATAATAGTATAACTCATTGTATAAACGAACAATAAATTTCGTTAAATTATGTTTTAAATATTTTAAAAATTGATCCATAGGATAATAAAATGCAAATTTAAATAGATATTATCAGTAAATGTTTATATTCGTCGTTCTATAACAAGTAATTACATATGATACTTTTACAGTTATTCATACTATAAAATATATATTATTCTTCTTCTTAGTTTCGACCTTTAAGACCATACTAGTATATAATATTACCATAATATATTATTCATATAACATAATCGTATATCTTACATATCAATATAAATGTGCAGTATCATAATTGTTACCATTATTTTAAATATTTATAAATATGTTATAAAATGGAACAGTTGCAATTGACAAAACAATAGATTTATTAAAGCAAATGTAGATAGGCTTTAGTTTTAATATTTCCTACATGATTACACTTGCACCAGAAATGACAAAAATAATATAAATAATACTAAGGTTAACGATTCTTGTGGTCTTCCAGTTTTATAATAATGAATAATAATATATAATATAATTCTAATTAATATTACTTCATATTTTATGTTTTATGCAAGTCAAATTAATGGGTATAATTTATTACTAGGAGATAGAAGAATTAAAATATAAAATTTGTTTAAAAGAAATTTGTATTCATTGTTGATATTCCGAAACTAGATTTTGGGACAAGCAACGATGAGAATACAGCAAGACAATATTTTAAACACTTCAAAATATCAGCTGATACAACGGGAATACCTAAATCATCAAATATTAATTGAACGATTTAGTATATTTTACAAACATTATCATATGGGTACCTTTACATTTTGAAAATTTTGAAATTATGGTTCTGAAACTGACCAATTATTAATAAATTTATATGATTAGCATTAAATGGCATCAAATGTGCTTACAATTTCATTACATGGTACTTCCATATAAAAATCATTTTTTTACTGTTTGAAAAAATGAGCAAAGAAACACAGGTAGTCTGTTATAAAAATATTAAAAAATATAAAGAATATCATAGTTGAAAATCGTCAATGTTATTATTAATATTAGATATTTTTCAAAGATTATTACTACCATCAGATCCAGTTATAAGTAGCTTAAGTTACAGTAATAAGAAAAAAAAATTTGCATCCATTTATTAATACATTATTACTAGAAGTTGGAAGTTAATGTAATCCCGATGGTAGCAATGGAGAAATTCATTTTTATTATTGCATATATTTTAATATTTGAAAATTAAAAAATAAATTATTAATAGGAAAATATAAATTGCCTTACATTAACTTATATTTATAAGCGTTATTCTCTTTCCAAAAAATAAAAAAAAAAAATTAATTAATTATCTAAATAGGATCTTTTTTCGAGACAAAACCAAGACACGTGTAGGCTCTTTAAATCGGTATACGAAGATGAATTATTATTTTCATAATTATTATGTAAATAATATATCATTATAAAATAATTCTGAGAAAACTACAACATTGGCCAACTTTTTTCATTTTTGAACCACTGTGCGTCATAGGTGCATTATAAATCCAGTTTTTCTTCGAGAAGGAACACGAACAAAATTTAAATAAATATAAAAACAACCGTCTTCGTTGTACTACCTACTATTCTATGCGTACACGTTTTAAGTGAGCAAGTGCACGCCGCTACCGCAGCCTCTTGCGCATAACATACACAATGTTGTATAGAGGAGACAACGAAGCGGTGGCAGCGAGAAGAGCATCGGAAGCAGCAGGTGTTCTATACCGCACTCCCCCTGTTTTTTTTACCGCGGTCACCCACCGCGTGATGTTCGACTGGTTCGATGTGTACACCGTCGACCATTACAACACGTCTAACAAACGCACTAATTGAGTGCTCTTCTTTTTATCCTATTTTCCCTCTTCTTTTGTTTCTTGTTTTTAAATTTATTTTTTTCATTTTTATTTTATTTATTATTATTATTTTGTTTTTTTAATTTATTTTCTTTTTTTTTATGTGATTTTTACCCCCCGATCTCACCGTTTTATTTGTGCCCCAGGCGAATACAATTTGAATTTGAATCCGGTAACTTTGGACGACGACGGCGTGTACCAGTGTCAGGTGGGTACTGGTAAACGCGACGAGCCGGCCATCAGATCGCGGAAAGCCACGCTCACCGTGCTGGTGCCGCCCGACCGTCCGCGGATCGTGCCCGCCGAGTCCATCACAGTCACGGAGAACGTACCGCTGGAGCTGGAGTGTATATCGGACGGAGGAAAACCACCGGCAGTGGTAAGTAAAACCATCACCACCATCTTATTTACGTTATTGTGTATAATTGTTGTGTGTATCCTTTGGGAAATGCGCACCCACCTCATAAAGCCACCCAAGACTAATCGGTCCAATCAGGGTGTTTGCACATCGAGTACTAAACGTCATTAGAATATTAACCAGCTAGAGGATACATCATTTGTTTTTTTATTTATTCATTTTTTGTACACAAAGCATATTATGATTTAGAAATTAGTATACGTCCTTTTGTGTTCTTGAACACGTTCCAAACCGTAGTTTGGTTTTGTTAATCGAGATCGATTTTCACAGCCGACCGTCAAAATCTTTAATATGTAGAACCTAGCCGTTTCGAGACGAGGAAGAAACTCACGCCAAAGAGATTGGTGATGATCTGCATAGCTTTTCGACGTTGTTTTCTAATTGTTCTCGTACGGATTTGACGTTAATAAACGAGCTCAATACTTCATCTACGCTCTGGTTAATATTGCCGCTCCAGGGCCCTGACAAATGAAGTCGATCCGTTTTATTGGCCTACGTGTGATCCAAATGATTTCGGCACGTTACAACCGATTCGTGTACCGTAAACGATACGTACATACTTACGAACGGACGTTGCTTGTCGTCAAACATTTAATGTCTGAAAAGGAACGCAGTACAATTTTGTTGCGCATTGTTTTACAGTCCATCTGCTGCACGTGCAACGGAATGAATTAGATTTCAAACCAATCTTAATGAGCGGTACAAGATACGTTATTCCTATGCACCCGGCGGCACAAGTTTAAAAATGCCACCGCGTGACGAAATTATTAAATATCGTCGTGCATACCGTCCGACGGTTTAACCGTGTTACGGTCAGCGCAACGTCTTGGCGTTTGTTGCCGAGCGCATGATGATGGACCGCAACGTTTATTTTTCGTGTCCGATGACCAGATAACCGTATGCGCACGGGAATCACCTGATTTGTATCGCATTCGAATCGGCGTGTACCTGCTGCGCGTTATGTTTCCGTATACATTATAGTATTCGTGTGTACACGCATGTGAATCCGTCCGTCATTATTAAAAAGTGGGCTGTCAAGACCAATCGAATTTCCAAAATTACCTACCGGTGCAGTAGCGACGATTATATGTGTATATACAGGTACTCATGTGTAAAACTATAGATATATACGGGTACACGGTGAGTAGGAGGTTCTATTCAATAACGAGAAAACGACTATGTCCCGACGATGACGCCGAAACCCTACGGGAACGGACGGTCGGCGACCGTGGTACGCGATATTATTCGTTTACCGTCCGTAAATGTATCATAAAATTACAATAATGGCACGCGTTATGATGACCGGGCGACGCTGGGATCCACGGATCTCGAACGGATCGAAATCTATCTATCGTTGGGTACTGATGTCTACGTCGTTTATCCATGTTAATAATAATATACGCGTGCGCGTAAATAAAACATAATAAGACGGGTGCGCGCACGTGTTCGATAACAATAACCGGGCGAGAAGGACGCCGCGCGGACGGAATACCGATATAATGCGACGCGCGGAAAGACGACGTCGAGTAGTTCGCGTACCGCGTGGGGGCTTGAGAGGGTAAGTAGTTGAAGTGTAGTGACGCGCGTACGGCGACGGGATCGAGAGAGAGAAAGAGAGGAAACGTCGAAGACGCGCAGAAATAAGTACCCGGGTATAATGCGGCGAGCTTGTTTACCAGGATGTATTGTAGTGTAGACGCGCACGGCCCGTCGGTAGGATATAACGTTCGCTGACAGTCCTTTCATTATTATTGTAATACGGTAAAACGAAGCTGACAACAACGCCGTGCACGATATTGTTGTACGGACACCGCGGCGCCCCGAACCAGAGATATATACTACTCTACACAGTACGCGGTTCGCCAGGGAGTTTTTAAGCGTTTTAAGTCGCGTCTGCAGAATTCTTTACGTATCCATGTATACATCTATTTATACACATCCTGTTATAATATGTTATGGATTTCAATCCTCTTCTTCTTCTTTTTCTTCTCCTTCGCCTTTCTCCCAACTATTTGCGGTCGACCACTTTTGCCCTAAACCTCCACGCGTCTCGATTTTCTACATCCCCTGTGCACACCCCGACATCGCTCATACCATTCTCAATCGCATCCATTTATTTTTTGGTCTTCCTCTTCCTCTTTTTCTTTCTACGTTCATTTTCAAAACCACTAACTGCTTTTGTTTCCTCTTGTCTCATTACATGCCCTAACTATCTTGGTCTATTTTCTCTCATCTTGTGCGTTTTCAACGCTATACCAATACTACCACTATCACAGTGTCATTCCGTCATTTCGTTGCGCGACAATTCGACGTGGTCATTTGGATGCACGACAATTGTTCGTGTGTAATATCAACGCATGGATTACATTTGGTCGCGCGTCATTTCGTTATATAAATATATATTTTGAAGGTTCTATCACTGGACCGCCTCCCTTATACTATTATCATGTAAATATTCTCCATATCATTTATCCTATTTGCTTATTGTACATATGTTACAGATTATAAATTTTCTATTTTAATAAAAATATATACGGTTGTAATAAATAACGATATCATAATTTTACAATACAACTTGGGTAATTCATCATTATTTATTTATTATAACACCGCTAAATATAGATTATATAATTACGTGAATATTAACATTTATAAAAATTAAAATTATGAGAAATAGGTACCTACTTGTTAAAATCTCACCTATGGGAATATTTATTTTAGTTTGAATATATATTACATGAACATTATACACACGCGTAGTCAGTACACTATGGTAACACTTAACAGCAATCGCAGTATTCCAGTATAATAAAATCGTAATATTCTAGTCAATATAATTATAACATGTAGTTATAAAATAATATATATATGTATATGCCATATAATATGTTTGCGAGTATACTTGAAGATTTTTATATGATATAGGAAAAAAAAAATTATATGCGACGAAATGACGCGCGACTAAATGTAGCATGCGTCGACATTACACGCGACAAAATGTTGTACGAAACCATTTGTCGAGCGTCCAAAAAATGAACGCAACGAAATTACGTATATCCCTATCACATGTTATGGATTTCAATGGTATCGTACATTTTACCATGGTCCTGGACGCGACGGCGACCGATGGACGGGAAAACGTAAGTCGATTAAAACCATTTATCTGAAGCGTACGAACGCCTGGCGCGTGTGTATTCACTATTATCATCATCATCATCATCATTTTTATTATTATTATATAATTCCGAAGGAGGAAAAAAACGATTGCGACTTCGACATCGAATAATATTATAATATCTTAAATACGTTATATACGAGATGACGCCGTCGAACCCGTTTTCCGATCGAGTAAATAAAATATCTAATAAAAAAAAAAAAAAGAACGAAATCGATAAAAACAAAGTCGACCTCTTCAGCGCACACGTGCACGTGTACGTGTGCCGTATAATATCTAGTGTTGTTATTATACATACGGGAAACTGGTTGTGCGCGTAGCGCCGGGACGGTGTCGGCCGCCCGGTCGGTTTGTGTCGCGCACGTCGCGTACGAAAAAACGTAACGCAGAGAAAACGCCGAGGACGAGACTCGTTTTCTCGTCGACTATTCATTTATGCGTATTAATATTATTATTGTCAACACCCTGGCTTTCACTGTGCGCATGATATATCACGCGTGTGTTACGCGTTCGTAAATTTATAATGTTTACAACACGATATTTACGAGTAAATCGCGTACACTCTATTAATCGTGGTGTCGTTCAGTCACCTTTATGTAAAGTCGTATGTGTGTGTGCGTGTGTGTTATTGTGAGTATATCATGTCTAAGTCTTGTGTGTGTGCGTGTGTGTGTTGAAGTGCAATATTAGAGCACGCGCATTTTTATTTACCTCCCCCCTCTTCGAAGCGTGATCTTATGATCGAATTAATTTTTCGATTTTCCACTCGATCGACGCTCCCGCACACTTTCGTATTTATTCTTAATAATATGTAGATGCGCCATATTTAAATAACGCACACCTATGCCGATTGCAATACGTACGTTGTGTATGCCTACTGTATAATAACACCATATTATAATAATACACATAAGTCGTGGGATCACGCTAGTAAGAAGAATATAAAAACGGTTTCAACGTCGGTAATATGATAATAATAATAGTTTATTGAGCGTCGGGTGATATATTTAAATATGATTACAAAATATCTCATGTATAATGTCCCATCTCATCACTCAGGATAACCTTTTACCGGTGAATCGGAGTGATGATAAAATAAAATTATTAAAAATATAATAATATAATCAACGAGGAGACGGAAAATAAATTAATAATTCCGTTCGTCTTACTTCAATCTCAAGCGATGCGAGAGGCTTCATTTTGCTGCTAATAGAGTATTATATGATATCATTGCTTGAAACGTTTGATGTTCGTTAAACGTAACTAAACAATATTAAGTATGACAAACATATGCGTACTATAGGTATACGCGTTCCATTATGTCATATTATGTAAACTACTGTACACGTACTGCACTGCGTAAACATTATTCTGTAATCGTTTGTAAAATAAAAATATCACGTAGCTGAGCAACTATTATAAATATATATATATATAGAACCTCTGACGTAACTACACGGTTTATTTTTTATTTTATAGGCTTTAATTTGAAAATAATGACCGTTGGATGTCTCCAATTTATATTTTTATATTCTTCCAGTATTCCCGTTTAAATTAAAAAAAAAAAAAAAATACAATCTTTAACGCGTTTTTCTATACGTGTATACGTGTAAAACTACAGTACATTATAGAAATCCACGCCAAATAAATTTGAACGCAAAAAAGTGAATCTCCTGTTAAGGCCACATGTGTTTTGGGCAGATAAACTGCAGTGAGATTCCGTGAAAGAATTATTATAAGTAATCGGCTGTTAAGTGCGTCGATTTATATATCGAAAAACTATTTG